CATGAAGTCACCAGCAGTTCATCGGCCATAAATAAACAGCCCCCACGGCGGCACGATGGCACCGACAGAAATTAGCTAATCCGCTCACAGTGCGTCGATGTGAGGGCGCGTAACTCACACAACTGTTCTAAAGCTGCTTTGGCTGTGGGTAGACTTGATAATGAGAATTCCCCTATCATCGACAGAGCTAAATGGAACGCCCCCCCCCCAGCCCCCCACCCCCGCCATGAACAGGCTCTGGTGGTGTTATCTGGCATCCAACGTGCAAGACATGCGACGGACGTGTTTGTTTTTTTTCTGAGGGTATAGTTAAGACTCGGCGAGTTTCCCTCCCAAATCAGGCATGCGACGCCGTTAGCATAGCATCTGCACGGCAATCTGGAGCACAAAGGCCAACTGTGAATCTGGGAAGAGTTACGGGATTATCTGCCGCAGGCACTGGAGGTGTGTGAGATACTCAGCCTGGAAAAGCAGGGTGGCAACGCGCGCACGCATGTGTGTGTGTGCGCGTGTGTGTGTACTGGTTTAGATTTTTGAGAGAAAGCAAAATTAATAAAATGCCCCCCCAACACACTTAAAAGTGTTTCGTTCATCTCCTGGTTTAAGGAGCTGGGGATGCCACAGCTGGCTTTCAGGTTTGATTTGGCTTTGGCTTTTGCCAGAATGGGGTTGGCTTCATTGAATGGGAAGCTAATGGGGATGCCCCACTGATTGTTGGCGGGGGTGTATGTGAGAATTCACCGCAAGCCTCAGAGTCCGTTTTCCGAGGGAATCAGGGAAGGGGGCTGTACGGCGAGTGCATAGGGGCCTTTTCTAGCAAACACTCAGCCTCAGGCCCAGCCCTCTCCAGCCTCGTACCCTTCACAAATTCCATCCACAACCTCTAGGGGGCACTGTCCATTCACTGTCTTGTTGCAGGGGAGGATGCCCATGAGGTAGGTGGCCATGTTGGAGGGAGGGGTGTATGTGCGTGTGTGCGTGTGTGTGTGTGTGTGTGTGTGTACGGTTAATTGGGAGGTGTGGGTGGGATGCGGGGCGTGGGAGGGGTGTAAAGCCAGCCAGCGACTCTCAGTGTTGCTAATTCATTTACAGATTTAATTAGATGGATGGAGCCCTCGCAGTTATTAAAAACAGCAAAGAATTGTTGCCAGCATTACAGCAGTTTTTAATTACAGCTTCAGATCCCTGCTTGCTGACGTCTGGGGAACTAGTTAATTAAAATCCTCATTATTTTACTTTTAATTAGTTCTCCCCTCTTTTGTTTCCTCTCGCCATATGGCCATGTTCCGTGGTCAAATTAACTTAATTGAGCTAATTAAGCTGATCAGTTTAATTATTCAAAGCATTCTGATTGGAAAGATTTCTCCCCCCGCCTGCTGTAGTTGAACTTCCACTTGTTTTGCCTCTTTTGTTTTTTTTTGTTTGTCTTGTTTAATTGCTGTGTATCTCGTTTTCATTTCAAACTTGAAGCTAAATAGTAAATTTTGCAACAATTCAGAGTGTGTTGGACATCTCATTCTGTGGTCACACGGTAGTTTTTAATTTGCTCTCAGTCCAGCAGCTGACCTGAATCGGACCTGCTTTTATTCACCACTCCTTTTGTTGGTGCCAGTCTTCTGGAAATAAGGGTTTAAGGTCAAATGACAAGATTAGGAAATGTGGAGCCACGAGTCGACCATGATTTACTCTGCCCCACATTCAACATATTATTTATTTACCAAACACTTTTATCCAAAGAGATATACAATTTTTTGGGAGGGCAGGGTTAACTAGTGTCTGGAGCAATTGGGGGTGGGCAATTAGGGCCTTGCTCAGGGACCCAACTGGGATGATTCAAAGCAGTGATTGCAGGTATAGCATCCTAACCAGCTGAGCCACACATAGGGGGAACTGTATTGTGAGTGTCATGCATGTCCCTATGACCAGATCCCACCGCTGCCACTAACCTTTCCCGTGATCTAAAAATCTGTGTATGTACCACACAGGTTCCATGTTTACTTAAACATGACCCAAACCTTGATGCCTACCTTCTCAATCCCGCCTATCCCCCTGGCAGCCCTATGTCGTACGCTTGGGTTAGTCGCAGGCGATACCAAGATCAAGGCTTCTCAGAGGCCAGGCCACTGAAGCAGTGCAACTCTCTGCTCTAGCTCCGGACGTTTCTGCAATGCCCGCTCCCCCCAATCTCACAGCTAGAAAAAAATCTCCCTGGCAGGATGGGAGATGCAAGCACAAGATGGACGGCTTCTGCTCCGGCCTCGCCTTTTCGAATCGTCTGTTCTGTATGGCTTTGTTTTACTCCATCTTCACACAACAGGAGGTGAGGAAGCTCGTTGCAATTACGCTAATTTGCATGTGTTAATTTGATTAATTAGCGAATGTAGAAAAGAAAAAAATATCAAACTTTTCACTTTCATGAGGCGCATCACAATTTATACACCTGCAAACTTTCCAGCGAAAAAATAAAAACTCACAGTGGAGAAACTATTCATGTGACCTGCTAATTGGCTTCGGAATATGTTGAGCTACAGTAATTAGTAATATGCAGATGAACCTTGATTGGTTTGAATGCAAAGAGAAACTTGTGGTGCTGCGGAGTACAGATTGTGCTGCCGTTTTTTCGCCCCCTTGCATAACGAAGATAGCGAGATAATTGCAATTACTTTCATTTGCATTCATTTATGTGTTTGTCTGATGCTTTTAAAATCCCAAAGGTAGAATAAATAATCAATGACATCTTGGCGTTTACTCAAATGCACAGGGACTCATTTCCGGAAAGGGATCAGCGGCTACTTCGTTGCCACTAAAACATTACAATAGACTTCATTTGATGGAAAAATACAGACTCTAAGCTGTTGCTATTGGCGATGATTACGACGCTGATAACGATGTTAAATTCTGAAGCACCATAACCTCCAAGCATGGACACATGTTTCCAGGATCAAACACATCACAGGAAATTGTTGCCCTTTAAAGTAGGTAGGGTACATAGTGGTGAAGAGCATCTGCCTGGACTGTGGGAACATAAGCGAATGGCGTCCTGTGTAAGGGAGACTCAAAAGTGAGACAAAATAACAAGGTCGCCTCCTGCTGGAGGGTGACCAGGCAGAGGAGCGCGGATGGTTTTTGGCTCTAAGGGAAGCCTACGCACAATCCCTCCTGTTCCCACCGCTCCTTTGCCCAATTGACCTTGAGTGCTTCCGGAGGGTCCGGAGAGGAGAGTAGGAGAAGAGGAGTAAAGAGAAGAGGAGCAAAGTCCAGGCTCTGTGCTTGATGTCTTTTATTAGCTGGACCATCAGAACTTGTGTGTTGAAAAAAATGAAAATAAAGGATATCCCAGCCAAATTGCTGGGATATCTCAACGATTTCATGGTGACGGTGCTTGATGAATTGCCTTAAATACCTTCACTAAACAGTTTCAGGTCAGCATTCAAATCTAATTTTTTCATTTGACCATGGGATGACCTCAGGTTTGGGGTCCCACCAAATACACTTAAATCAAAGCTAGCGGGTTTTCATAGCAAGGCAATTATGACCCTGCATAACATGTCACTTGGGTATTTATAGATAGAAATATTTAGGATTTCGAGCATGGGAAAAAACTGAAGTTTGCTGCCCAAACAAAGCGGAATTTGAACTCATAACAGAACCCAAGAGTTGGGAAGTAACAGGCTCCACAAATGTCCAATGGAGTTAAAGCCTGCCCTCCAAGGCCCGCCCCTTCTGTCAGGGTATGTTCTGATTTACTCCTACGCTAAAGACTGTTGGAACAGTTTGCTGGGAAATTAATTTCAAATGTTGTGCTCTACTGAAATGTTTTATTTGGTTAGTAATTCATGAGAGAGGATAAGTAAATATGGGAGAATAAAAAGCCTGGCTGAAAATTTCCTGTGATTATACGTGGGGGGGGGGGGGTTGTCTGTAAACTCGCTATGGGTGTAAATAGCAAACAAAACACATTATAAGCAGGGCAAAGTGTACAGAAAGTGGTATACAGGGGTGGGGCAAGTTTACAAAATATGGAAAAAAAACACAGGCACACAAGTGCTTTGATCAGAGGTGGTTAATTCAGGTCCAGAAACTAAAAATCCAGACCAACGAGCTGAGTAAGAGTCACAGAGTACTCAGCTAGTGGGATGACTAAATCATGGTCCGGATTTTGGCTTTCTGGACCTGAAATATCCACCTCCGGCTGTGATAGTTGAGATGCTTTGTGCTGATCTATACACCATTTAATTAGAAAAAACAGCATTTTAGCACTATGCCAAAGGAAAAACATGGTCATTTACAGTTCATTATCATCATCATCATCATTATTATCGGATGCTTAACAGAAATTCAGACCTATGCATTGATATAGCTGGATATTGAGAGAGATGGTTAAGTGCCTCTAGGGTAGCGTTTCCCAATCTGGTCCTCAGGGACTCAGAGTCTCCACATTTTTGCTGGAGCTGGAAAGAAGCAAAAAAACGTGGACTGTCTGGCAGGGAGCAAAAACATGGACCGGCTATGGGTCCCCAAGGACCGGATTGGGAAACACTGCTCTAGGGTACAGCAGATGGGGACCTCAGGCACCAGCTCTCCGCATAATTCCTTGCAAAGCCTGTAGCCACATCAAGGGCCGGTCAGGGTTATGGCAGGGAGCAGCCTGGAGCCGAACCCTGGCCGCACAGAACACAAGGTGGGGTGAAGTGCAGAAAGAGGGCCAGTCCACTACAGGGCAAATACAGGGGCACATGCACATGGGAGAAAAATGCTACAGGCAATTTACAACCAATTACTCTAAATGATTCTCTTTACACAGTGGGAGGAAACTTGTGCGAGTCAGGAAGAACATGCAGACTCAGGACACAGATCGGAAGTGGGATATGTGCCCCCAACCGTAGAAGGGTGTGGCAAGGGTACTGCCCCCCCCGACCACACTCTTAATAAAAAACCAAAACACAAAAAGTGAACTAGGAGGAGAGGGGAAATAAATAAATAAAACACACCACACTACATAGGTCTGTTAAGCATTTTATTTTTCCATTTAACTGTTTCACAGCATTTTTCAATTTCCAATCAAAAAACTGGAACAGACAAGAATTCAGCCTCACTTCAGCACGACACGTTGGCATTAGAAAAATATGTACAGATCATCACACTTGTACAGTTGGCCGTTACCATCATCCTTTCACAAAGGCCTGTGAAGTCCGTCAACTTGGCAGCGCCATCCAGAACAAAACGATTCACACCTGACTGTACAGTCTTTCACACCCTCCGATTTAATGTTCCTTCAATGATCCCTATTCAAATAAACTAAATTTAAAAAATGAAATAAGTCAAAGATTAAAACAAACCATTAAGATTATAATTAAAATAAGTCAAGGATTTAATGTTATAGCAAGAACCTTTCAGCAAGTACCCATATGCTCACCTGATCTACAGATTTCTTCAAAAATTCTCACCAAAAATGACAGATACATCTGGACTGAAAGAGGCACAGATTGCTTTCCTGATATGTGCTGCTCAGAGATCCTGCAGCCCCTCCCCCTTCATGGCTTTCAGGGTGTCTGTTCAGTCTTTCCCATCTCTTCCAGAGTTCCATCTACTTGATAAAGGAAAAAGGCCTCCCGTGTCAAGGTCGTCCCCGTGACCTTCGGCCGCCGAGTGGGTCAGAGGAACCTCACTTTGCTTCATTGTCTGGCTCAGGTCACGTCCGTGTGGGTCTGCGATCTCCAGGGAGCATGTGCCAAGGTACCAGCTGAAACATCCAAGAGCAACAAGCAGCCGTCCATCTTCTCCGTGAACAGTCAGTCTGTCAGGATCTCGTTTGTGGACAGGTGGACGGTGGCTGGTTTTGAATACCCTTTAATATTAAGGAGATATATCCACCGTTGACATCCATGGGGGTGGGGGGGTGGTATAACAGTGGAAGTATATGACAGACCGCAAGGGGGTGCTTGGATGGAGGAGGAAGAGGGAGCGGGTATGGAGATGGCCCCCAGCCACTTCAGCAGACCTAGGATGAGGTGAGAACGAGGGCCATTCGTCACAACAGCTGCCAAACCAACTGACGTTTCATCACAGTCCTACACGCTGCGTGTGAATCTACATTATACCTGCAGCAAATACACTTTTGGACTTCAGACTTTCGAAATTTACAATCCAGCTGTATAGGTGTAACTTAAGGGGGCTAAAAGTCCTCCCCCCCCCCCCCCCCCCC